ATGGGGACAAAATAACGCGCGTGTGCGATTTTGAGTTTTCACGAAGAGACAATTTTCGAGCGCGTGCAAGCAAAACGACGCGTGCGGGCAAAACGAAGCGCGTGTGGGATTTTGAAATTTCACGAAGAGACAATTTGTGCGTGTTTGGATAGCGGAGAGTTTGAGTTTTCACGAAGAGACAATTGGATCATTGCCAATTTTCCCGGGAAAACCAATCGCCTGTGGAATTTGAGTTTTCACGAAGAGACAATTGACTATGAACGTTAATTGCTCCGCAATTAATTGGTCTATTGACTAGCAATTGGTACAGTGTGTAAGTGTGAGATTTCAGCTTACTATCGGTATAAAAAAAATAATCAACATGTCCTCTAAAAGTAGGCGAAATCTTCAGTTTAAAAAGGGTTCAACTTTAAAGTCGATTTTCTCAAAACTATGTTCAACGCCCCGTGGCCACAATTCTCTCTTCGTGAAAACTCTGACGATTTGTTAGCCGGGAGAAAAGGTCGTTATTTTGGTGTGTTTCTTAATTATTCCAAGTTGCAAAATTAGGCTTTAGCATGCCTGAATCTGCCCCATTGAAAAAGAAGTACCGTGATAGGCTCGGGAGTCGAAATAAGTAAAAATTTCACCGACACTGGGAATATTTTTGCTTGGTGTCCGGATTGACCATAAATTCCTGTGGACTTTGCTTGCGGAATGATACAGAAGTGTATGTAGGACATGACCCCAAAAAAATTATACGGCCCTCTATTTTGCCCCGGCGGATTACCATTTCGCCCGGGCGAATTACTATTTCGCCCGGACAGATTAGTAATTCGCCTGGGCGAATTTAGTAGTCTGCCCGGCAGACATCACATTACACGGTGGGCGCTCTTCATGATATCAATATGCATACTCACGATTACATCAAAATGGCGCATTTTTAAAGCTTTTGTACTTTGTTTCTCCACTTTGCAGTGCTTTTAAATGCATTTTCGTTGTTGGGATGTTCGAAAAATACCTCGAAATCCGCATTGCTTTTTCTCATCACGAAAAAGTGTGGGGGTGTTGATTCAATAGCCCATCCCCCTGGTCAAAAACTGGGGGGATATATACCCCCGGTCCCCCCCCCCCCCCTGGAATTACGCCCTGCCTTTTAATATAGGTTTTCCCGGCCAATTTCACCAAGTTTTCATTCCATTTTACGCCTGGTTCGAAAATTAAATTGAAAGATCACGCATTTCGTTATTCGACAATCAAAAAGAATCATTCATTTTCACTATCCGAGCAATCTATCGCATTGTAACTTCACTCGTAAAAGATGCATTCAAAGTAAAAGTATCGCGTTGTTCATTCAATTTCGTTTAAACCAGTATTCATAAATACATGTACCTCAGACAGTTTAGCTATTCCTATTGGTCGAGAGCCCGTCACGTGGCCGGTCTTAAACGGATGATAAAGACCTGGCTAGCTGGTCTTAAACACTTTTTCAGTGTCACATAAAATGTGGACTCCTAAAAATCCAGTGCCTCTTACCATTTCATTGGTTGAACTTTCACAAACCTCACGTAGGCGTGCGCAACACTACTAGCGAGTCAGAATAGACCGCTTGCAGACGCGTTCGATAATTGACGCGCTAAGGTGAGCGACGCCATGTTATGGGACAAAATGTGCGTGGATAGATATACGCCTGTCCCACAACATGGCGTCGCGCGCATTCGCGTGTCGCTTATCGAACGCGTCTGCAAGCGGTCTATTGTATAGTTCTAATTTCAAAACGCAACGCCCCAGGTGCGTTCTGCGCGACATCGCGCAGAACATGCTACGCGCGCGTCAATCTCCATAAAAGGGTTGTTTACATCTTACTTGCCAGCTGATCGCTCCATTATTTTGCTAGAGGGATGTTTCAAAAAGCAAGAAGTGAACTTGTTGAACAAAACCGGGATTTTTGAACGAATTATTTGATTTTTTTTACCGAAAAGGTATTTATGAATGGGAATAAATGTGTGCTCGGTCGGTATTTATCACTCTGTTTAAGACCGCTTAGAGTCTGGGTGCTGAAAATTACCCTCGCCTCCGGCTCGGGTAATTATCAGCACCCAGACTCTAAGCGGTCTTAAAAACAGAGTGATAAAAACCTCCGGAGCACACATTTCTTCCCTTAGTAAGGGGTTGATCGGGCATTCCTTTTCATTAATGGGCAAACATATTTCACATTGTGTCAAGCATGTTTTAAGACTTCCTGCATGTAAATCTTACCTGACGTCTTCAATCCGTCAATACACACCTCTCTTTCTTAATTAAAAGGTCCGTGCAATGAATTGTTCTCAGGAATACATTTTGTGCAACTTTCTACAACTCTGAAATGTATGAAAGCTACTCATTTGACATCCTCTTTGGTTAGTCTTATTGCAAAAAAGTTTCCATGCTTTTCCGGACTACTGAGCGCGCTTGTGTTGTACTGTGATTTCAGGAAGACACTGTTCACGGTTTAGGGGTTTTCGTTCCAATTATTCAGCCAATTTGAAAATTGAAAACATTTGTGAGAAAGGATTGCTCATTAATTGGCTTACTGACATGTACATATCGTCACCGACACCACGAAGTAACAGTCTACCGTGTTAAAGCATATTTTTTTCGATTTTCAGTTTTTTGGATTTTTAAACATTATTCATGAAGGCCTACCATTACACGAAGTTTCAAAGCTTCAAGAGCTTTACTTTAATAATTACGCTAAGTATCCATGGCAACTTTTGCGCAAAAGTGACAATTTTCGTTTTCACGAAGTAACACTCAAGTTCCATTTTCCATTGCAATGCATGGCGCGCACTCTGCTCATAAGTGAGCAAAAGCGTTTTCACGAAGTAACACTCTTCTTGTAACAAGTTGTATGAGTGCGCGCGCGCTGACCTGAAGTTGCACTTTCCTCGTGTTAAATACATTGAAGAGTGTTACTTCGTGAAAACGAAAATTTACAGTTTCGCAGCTTTTTTGGTTTCACGAACTAACACTCATCTTTTTTCTCTTATTTCTTGTTTATTTAATACACAAACGAGTGAAAAACAGCAGATTTAATAAATTCAATTCATCAAGTGTCCACAACGAGAAACCCAACTGAAAATACTCTGTCGTTTTGACGCAAAGTGTTGTTTTAGAAGGCGTTCAACTTTAGTTGCCGTTTTCTCCGATTGCTAGTTTTTACTGGTATGTAGATGGGTGTTACTTCGTGGTGTCGGTGACGATATACTGACACAACAAAGAATCACCAAAGAATAAAATGTATGAAAGCAAAATATCCAAAATTTTAGCAACTGTTTGTGCTGAAATAGCCGTGACACATTAATCTGCCAGGAATGACAATAAAGTTTTGCACATGAATATAGAACTTGCATTAGCTTAAAAACGGAGAAGGCACCAAAATACCCTTCAGCATGGAAAAATAAAACTTGAATATAACACAAAGATGTATTTTCAGGGTTTGCATGGAAATATTCCTTTGCATAGCCCTTGAAATAAGTGTTCGTTCAGACACACGCATGAATGGACCTAAATGAGTGGAGATGTGAACGGCTGATGGAAGTGGTCCAAGAAAACATTTGAGAAATTACCCAAGAGAAGTGCTCCCGATGGTACAACCATTGCCAAACATACATGTCTTGCACGTCAAGAAACCGTTAACGTAAAGATGTCCCTTGCTCAAACGTTTAAACAAGTAGAAAAGATCAACAGTGAAAAAAAGAAATCATCTTAGCCCTTTTCATTCATTTTTTCATTACATCTTGTTTATCAGTTAATTTGTTACATTTTACAATTTACAGTCACGAAGATTTTGGGGAAAACATGAACCTCGGAGGAAAAAGGAAAATATATCAATTAAACAATCTTATCAATTTGAATGACCAAACGATGAACGTGATTGCCCATAAACGAATAAGAAACGAAAAGCATGGTAATACGTTATAAGCGCACCGACGTTCGCTAATTTGAATGCGTCAACCGTCAAAAGGTTTCAAAGACTCAATTTAAGAATGATACAAATTAATTTTTGGATGCATGGCCAAAACGAGTTAGAATGCACCAAATCGAAATAGAATGCCCCAAAACGAAAACGAACGTTCAGAGCAAAATCTTGGGTGCCTAGATATTGAAATTGAATGCCCCAATGTAGGCCTAAAACTAAGAAACCCCATTTTGATCACAATGTGTGAAACTCACGCGAAATTGAATGGCTGATAATGAAAATGATTAGAAAAATTCGGATATTGGCCGGGAAAACCTATGATGAACTGGATCGTGTACCAGTTCACTGGGGCAAATCGGCAAACCGATTTTCCGTGAAATTCTCGAGCCCCTGCCGTGCGTCTTATGTTATTTGCTACCTGTCCGTTGAAGGTGAAAGTGCAAGTGTGCCCTCAGCGGCCAAGATGTATCTAGTTCGATCCAAGTTGCCTTCGCAACGTACGTACCTTCAGGGTGACCGTTTTAGCCGATTTTCGGCTAACTTTGACAGATTTTTTGTTGAAAAATTAAATTGACAGAAAACCTGACAGAATGCATTTTTTGGCAGATATTTCTGCAAAAATGGTTATTTGACAGAAAATTTTTTTTTTTGAAGAAATGGTACATTTCTTCAAAAAGCTCCAATCTTTTCAAACAAACCCTAGCATAATGGGACAGTTTGGCTGGTCTAGGACTTTGTCGGGACGCATCCCCGTTTTTCCTGAACTTTACACAATAATTTTATAACATCTTTATGTGACTATAGATAGTTTGTAATGTAATTTGAACCTTAGTTAAGGCAATACTACAAATCTGAATGTAATTTGAAGTGTTTATAGTGTATTTCGAGTAATTCTGGGGAATTTGGCAAATTTTTGATAAATCTGGCAGATTTTTGAAATGCATTTGGCAGAACTTGGCCACAATCTTACGGTCACCCTGGTGAGATCATGCATCACGCAAAAATGCGATGGTACTGTTGTGCGCTTAATTTCAGTGCCTACAATTAATAATTCACAGTATGTAGAACGTGCACGAACGTCGAAGTATCAAACCACGGACCATTACACAGAGAGGAATCAAACTACATGTAAGTTAGGAAGTGTTGCGTTGTTTAACCAACTAGACGAAGCTAAGAAGATTGGGAAGGTAAGCGAGATTCCACTGTACGTAATCTTTTTTAATCCTAAGTTATCTATTTCTATTTTCATCCCCATAAAATGAAAATGTGGCTCAAATACTGGACTTCATACGAAAATAAATGGGAAAGAATGTTGCAACCTGACGCTACTTCAGCGGTTGTGTACAATTTGTCTATGGAGAGTCAAGAACAAGATTTAAGTTAAGTATTTCCTAACAAAATTGGAAATGTTTCTCAGTCCCACTCCCAGATTCATGTTTTTATCATCATTTTTGCAATGAATAACCTTCATTGAGATGATATATCATATGAAAAAAAATTCTGATATTTCAAATCATTATAATATTTATAGGCTAGGCATGTACGCAATTTGTCAGCAAATCATTTTCTTATTTTTGAGCAAATTTTAAAGGTTCATTGTGCACTTAAAAAAAAAAATGGGAAAATCATGCCAAAATATAATTTCCCTGGAACTTTGTCATGTTTGTAGCGGGTACTAAAAACTCAAGATTTATGAACGGGAATGTTTTAGAGATTGATGAAAAATTGAAATGTCACTTACTGTGAAATTTTAGGTCACAATTTTGCCTAACACTAACAGTAACAAGGCACTACAACTAGAGGTGAAAAATCAAAGTGCGTCATGTTGGGGCCGTGCCACATTATGCCATCAACAAACATCATGTAGCTGCGTGTGGGAAATGATAAGGATAAGGTCAGGAAATCAAAAACACGGAACTGTTCGGAAAGAATGTTGCAACCTGACACCACTTTTTTCATCATCTCAATGAAGGAAGTCATTTGCATATGATGATAAGACTTGGGACTGAGAAACATTTCCAATTTTGTTAGATTAGAAATTTTTTTTTTTTAAATTCTTGACTCTCCATAAACTTTGTACACTTTTCAAGTTTGTGTCGTTTTTTTCAGTACTTTTATCTATAGCGTAAAACCAGGACCATTATAGACCAGTCCCAAAATGTTTGTTTCAGAGGGAGATTTCTCAAAATTGGGGAGACATATTGAAATTGTTTTAAGATAAATTCCGAATCCTAAACAACAGGATCTAAGACTTGTCTTATTCTACCTCCATGGTGGTACAAAGCTCAAGTTAAGAAATAGTGGCCAATTACAGAATGGTAAAAACTAGTTTGTCTATGGCAGTCATGTAGACATTATTGCATCTTTGTACACGCATGCTGTGTTGACATGTGGACAAACTGGTTTTTGACCATCTTTCTTTAAACCATCGCCATTTCTTAATTTCTAAAGGCTTTATTTTCAGCGCCTTTTCACCATGAAGATGCTGTAGTTTAGGAATATCACAATTTTAACATGTCTCCCAATTTCTAAGAAATCTGTGAATGAAAAATTGTATTCTTTGAACCAAAAACTCTGTATAGAATGTATGCACAGCTGTTTTCCCACAGTAAACTTTATATATATGGAGATTTGACCTCAGTGAGGTCAATTTGTGCATCTCTCTAAGACTCTTTTGCCTCTGATGATGTCATATGCATGGACCTCGGACAGTTGTGTGATGAATGGAGATTTTAGGCGGCATAATCTGTCCCACTTGCAGTGCAACATGTATACCTTCAGGAAAAGAGTGAGAGTGTACAACCTAGAATGTTGAAGGTTGCATTAATGTGTTCATAATAGCATGAGATACATTGTAAACAAATCCTTGAAAACAAACCACCCCCAAAACAAGCTCTCTTCTTTTTTTTCTCTCTCCAGATCTGCAGATGCTGAGATAAAAGACACCTGAGGACAACAAAACCGACACAGAATAATTCTCATCTGTGACAACATCTTCTGATGAAGATGGCACCCACAACTTTAGTTAAGTGGCTACCAGCCATTGCTCTTGTCCTTATCGTTTCAATTTCGGTCGGACAATGTGCCAACTCCAACAACAATGGGAACCTGACACTAGACAATGTACCCAGTGATCACGTCTACCAGTCGAGCGGTGAATACGATGAAGGGGGTTTTCCTTTGCCTACAACTTGGGGACTGATTGACAGTTTCTTGAACACAATATCACCTGCTTCTCCACCTTATGGTAAGTTTTTTTTTTACTTGAAATCTAACTGTTTCAACAGGGAATATTTGCTCTTACCCCCCGCTGGCCCTGCAAACAGGGTGCTGGGAAGGGCTGATGATACTCGAGCTTCACAGAATCTTGTGAAGGAAGTACGGATGGCATTCTGGGTAATTTACCATGACCTTTGCATGCATCGCATGCAGCTAGCGCGCACTATATGATAAACAGCTGTAGTAAGTTTGTGTGCTGTATTCTACATCACAGGTCTTGCAAAATCTATCTAATCAGAGCTCAAAAATATCAGCCGTTCCCAGCGTCCTGTTTGCGGGGCGAGGGTACAAGCGAAAAGGGAATGCTATTTTTTCAGTTCCCAGAGAATCAGCCTACTGCACGCTTTGTACTTATCTGACTGACCAACTTATCCAACCCAACCCGACTCCCGGCAAGTATGTTCATGTCTCCTTTGGTTAATAAAACAAAATTAAAATAAAAATTATCAAAACTTGATTATAATATTAATTTGTATACTTTTTAATGACTTGAATTTTATTTCACTTGCATTTTCTTTGTTCAACGTGCTTGTTATAAAATTTGTAGACTGGCCACTTCATTACTACAGAGGCTGAAATTGAAAAACAAAAACCAATTCACTGTTTTTGTAAGTGGCAGCTGAAACATGAGTGCTTTTTGTGTCTAATTCTCCCTCTGCAAAACTAGATAAAAATTCCATTCTGTAAATTAATTTCTGTCAGCTCTTCCTAGAATTGTGTAATGGACAATTGGGGTCAGCAATTGGGTGAGGTACATTTTCAGCCTCCCAATTCTATTGATGAGTCATAACAAAGAAAATATAAAAAATACTGGACTGGATCGAGTTATACCCCAATTCATCTATTATGTTTGTGTGGTCTTTCTTTATGTAACACAAGGCGGCTTCCGCTTTGCAGGAGGAGGGTTCATCTTATATAGCGGGCTTACTGCTGCCATGGAATAACAAAAAATTGACCCAGTTCATTTATTCCTGGAAAAAAGTTGCCGAACTTTCCACATGGAGATTTTATTTTTATGAGAAAGTGTCCGATTTTCATTCATCATTACTGGTAGAATAAATAATAGCTTGAGAAATGGACACTTTACACAGTGCGTTATGTCAGTGGGCAGGTTTTGTTATTCAAATTCATTTACGATGACAGCATCAAAGTGTAACCATGGAGCTATAAACATGGTGTAACATAATACTTGCCCACTGTCATGGTGCAAAATACAAAGGGTCTTGCTTTTGTGTTGCTTGACTCACTCCATTTGCAAAATCTGTCACTTTAATTGATGCCCATTGTTAGAGTTATTTGGACACGTAAATTGTATACAGACTGGTTTCGGTGTACCCTTCAGCAATGACTGAACTTCAAGTGAATGTTCCACGCTTGAATGACCTTGACTGTAAGGTTAATTTACAAGATCAACATGTTTTGGAGCCCAACTTTAATGGCACATGCCTCAACAATTGATCGTATGCCCCCCAAGTATTGTATGACACGGTTTAAGGCTGAATAAATATCATGTATCAAAATCCTTTTTCATTTGACATGCTGCCCATTTCAATTTGACTGAGGATCAGTTTGATTTGCAACTACACCGTACCAACCACATCAAATTTATCTAAATTAGTAATTATGTTCTGTATACATGTACGTGTTGGTCTCTCCATGAAGTTGGCTCAATACTCACTGATTTGGCACTGTGAATGTGGGGTTTTTTTCTTTCTAAAAGCTAATTGTACTGAAATCCTGTAAGAAATTTTTTTTTTTATAGAAGGACCTTACATGTACAACATTTTCAACCTGAAACTCCTCAATTTTTAAATGGCTCTTATTTTGTGTTCTCAACCATTGTTCTTAGTTTCATTGGTGTTTTTCAGTGAATGTTACCGTACCCCAGAACTAGAAGTAAACTTTAAAGCATACCGGTACATGAATGGAAAATAACATATTACCATTCAAAACAAATCAAAAGGTGAAGTCTAAGGTTGATATTCATGTTGAACATACACATGCGGTATTTTTTCTGTGACCTGAAAACAGAGTCCCACCACTGATTCCATTTCAAGTTTATTATTTTGCCATTGTACGGTAGCTGAAAGAACTAAATAATGGGGCTGACTTTGCAGTTTGCAACATTGAAAAAGTCCATACCCACTTGGAATTTTGGAACTCAAATTCATTCAGAAGCACGCTACATTGTCTTTTAAAGAAAATTTCCAGAGAGTGAGTCATACGGTAAATGTTACCAGGGTGATTTTCATAGTTTAACCGGTTCAATTCCATTTAAGACTATGTACCGGTACCCTTTTTTTTTTTTTACATTTGAGTCATCCAGTCAAACAAAGTACAAAAATATAACTAAACATTCGTACAATATTTTTCTGTATATTTACATCCTACACAATAGTTCCTAAATTCTAAAGTTGGTAGCCACATTTTTGTACAGGTACCAGTACAGCATCAAAGTGCACAGGTGTTTTCTGTGGATCTGAGTAGTTTCTTTAAAAGTTATTTTTGTAATTAAATGTCATTAAATTAAGCTCAGTTTATTTAGTCAAATGGTTTTATCCTTGGAAAGTACGAGTGGGCAACGGACCACAACAATTATTTTTACCCCTCAGCCGAGAGGCTCGAGGGGTATTGTCATCGCCTAGGGCGTCCGTCCGTATGTACGCCCGTTCTGACCATACCACCCTTGTGGGGTGATGTTCCTTTCAGGACACATCACCCCACTTTTTTCACAATAGAAAAACATCACCCCAGAAGGGAATCTTTAGAAAAAGGGATAATGGGAACACAATGCTATTTCTTGGAAATTGGGAGACATTCTGGCTAGAATGTCCGTCCGTCCGTCCGTCCGGGTAGCTTGGTTTCCGGATGATAACTTGAGATAGAAATGTTGTTTGGGGTTGTAACTTCGGTAGGGGGTTGCCCTTGGGAGTAGGCAAGTTGGGATTGGTTTTGAGGTCAAAAGGTCAAAGGTCAAGGTCACCGTGGTGAGTTAAAGGTAAATGGTTTCCGGATGATAACTTGAGTTAGAAATGAGATTTTGATGTCTAACTTTGGTAGGGGGTTGCCCTTGGGAGTAGGCAAGTTGGGATTGGTTTTGGGGTCAAAAGGTCAAAGGTCAAGGTCACCGTGGTGAGTTAAATGTAAATGGTTTCCGGATGATAACTTGAGTTAGAAATGAGATTTTGATGTCTAACTTTGGTAGGGGGTTGCCCTTGGGAGTAGGCAAGTTGGGATTGGTTTTGGGGTCAAAAGGTCAAAGGTCAAGGTCACCGTGGTGAGTTAAATGTAAATGGTTTCCGGATGATAACTTGAGTTAGAAATGAGATTTTGGTGTCTAACTTTGGTAGTGGGTTGCCCTTGGGAGTAGGCAAGTTGGGATTGGTTTGGGGGTCAAAAGGTCAAAGGTCAAGGTCACCTTGGTGAGTTAAATGTAAATGGTTTCCGGATGATAACTTGAGTTAGAAATGAGATTTTGATGGCTAACTTAGGTAGGGGGTTGCCCTTGGGTACAGGCAAGCTGGGATTGGTTTTGGGGTCAAAAGGTCAAAGGTCAAGGTCACCGTGGTGAGTTCAATGTAAATGGTTCTGAATGATAACTTGAGCTAGAAATGAAATTTTGGTGTCTAATTCGGTAGGGGGTTTTCCATCGGTACAGGCATGTTTTCAAGAACTGGTTCTGGGGTCAAAGGTCAAGGTCACCATGTTGAGTTAAAGGTTAATGGTTTCCGGATTAATGATAACTTTACTCTGGCTGAGGGGTTTCAACAGCAACGCTGTTATTTTTAAAGTGGTGATTGCTTGTTACAAAGTACATTGTGCCTCATCGAAAAATTGATTATTGAGTAAAACAGTAGAAAGTTCCGTACATGTGCAATTGTACTAGAGGCTACTTTTAATACTAGCCCGAGACATGTACATTTATGGTGTAAATCGAGGATTTCTTCCTCCCTTTTCCTTTGTTTGTACACTAACGTTTTTGCAACAGCTCTCATGGGTTTGTATACGTTTTCCAACCGAGGAGTCCTCGATTCGGTTTCTGTCCTCAATTTATCGATGGTGTGGCACGTGTGTGTCCTCAATTCATACCATAAACATGCACATATGATTGCATCATACACAAAAAGTTTTGAACTGATATGTATACATTTTACATGCATGTGATGGACGTATTTTGAATATCAGTGTGGCTCCTCCAACATCCCAATTATATTGTGTTTCAAATTATACTGTTCATTGGTCCAATAAAAATCTGAAGCAATTTAAAGTGCATTTATATTGTACGTTGATCCCAACCGGTATGTTATTGGTATTTAAAAGGATTCAAATGAAGGTGTTTAACATATTTTGTCAGTACATATACGAAGTTCATGAGGGAGGACAAAATGCAATCTGTAATGTCAGGAATGTAATTGTACCTGTTCTCACTGATTTTATGAGAACATGGAGCTATTGTTCAGAATCATATGGAGGAGAGTATTTGATACATGTACCGGTGCATTGTATGTACAATGTAGGATGTGGAAAATCCTTGCTCTACCGGTAGCATGATCCATTTACCACACAAGGTTTCAAATTAAACGGTCAGTGCACACATCATAATTAACAAAACACAATGTACATGTAGTGCTACATGTTGTACATGACCAAAAGATACTCATGAATTTTTTGCAATGTCTATAAATTGGTCATGCAAACATGCTCCATAGATTAAAAAAAACATTACAGACAACAGCCTGGCCAGGCATTGATGCTGTTGTGGTGTCTCCATGGTAACCAGGGCCGTAAGCCTGTTTGAGTAATTGCAGCAGAAGGCACTTGTTGTCATGCAGTTTATTGGGCTATTACTTTTAAGTTCCATGCGGCTTAATTATAAATGTGGTTAAAATCAAAGTTCTGCAGCGCTTTATTTTTATTTGTTTATCTGTTATTTCTTTACCCAGAGTGCCATTACGTACATCAGTATGT